ATGCTAGGGGACTCTTTCCCCGGTTCTCCCGTCCTGTTACCTTAGCGGATTTATCATCATCACTTCAGCAAAAAAAGGGTCTGGCCAACTCTAGAATTTGGCCACGTCGCGGCAGCAGTCGTTCCCGTCATGAGGTGAACCAGGTCAGCGTTTGGCCAATTCACCGTGAGCTTCAGTGGGCTTACGACGGCAAATCAATTTCAATGTCGCCGTATTTCTGTTACCTTAGAGAGCAAAGAGACCTTGTCCAAGACACAGAAGCTAGCATTGCGCGATAAGCAAGCAGAACACCTGGTTACCTTCTAACCCTGTTTCCCTCAGGTGTGACTGCAGGCGCCATCTTGGCTTCTCGAACAATGTGACGCGGGCAGCATGTCTCTTCTCTGAGAGGACTTTTCAAATAAAATTCACTTATAAGTCTATATTTTCAATGTCTCCCAACTCGGCGGTGCGAACCATCTTCAGTTGGGCGCCGACAACCCCCTCTTGCCCTCACGGCCAGCATTGACGCTGTCGTCTGCGAAGAAAAGGGGAATCCTGTAGGTGGTAACGGATTTCGTACTCGTTCTGGGACACGCATCCGCAACTTAGCAGAGATGCGGGCGATTGCTAGTCCAAGGGACGTAATGAATTTTTGTGGCTTGCTTGTCGCTGGCTCTATAAGAATCCAGACCTAAACTTAAGAGTATTGTGCATCTACCGGTTATGGCTGACGATGCGTTCCGGCACAGCGGCACCGCCGCGACTAATTGCCTATTACCATCAGTTGGGCATGTCCAAACGCCCCTAGCGGCCCGGAAGGCAATACCTAGTAGCGATCTAGTTAGGTAATGGTAGTGTGGAGGATTACCTCTGGCGCTTCTGCACGCAACGCAAAATACGTACTTTGTGTGATTATCTACAGGGGTTATTGGGGTCACAGCGGTAGGTATTACGATCCATATCCTGGCCCCGGCGGCCACGTGGAATCTCACTTCTGATGACAAGAGATCCCCCCTGGGAGTTAAGCGGAATGGCTTGCGTCAATGCGAAGTACCTCCCAAGTACCCGACCAGGGCAAGAAGCTGGGAAATCTCTACATAGTAGGCTCATTTTACTTATTCCACTATCACGGCCGTAAGCCAAGGCTCTTGCAGACGCTTTCATTAGAACCCTTCACCATTTTACCATCCCGAATCATTCATGAAAGGCTGTGCGATGCAATGCGATGCAATGCGATGCGATGCGATATGACTAACTCACTAGCTTCCATAGGGACCGGAATAGGATATGATGTTCTCCCAATTTTGTCGATAGGATAACGTGGGGGCTCTGGGCAGGCCGCAGCGTACAACTTCCCTAGGTTATCTTAACAAGTCCCGTTCCGAAGATTGTCATGGTTAGGTTACCTTATGTATTTGAGCTGAGGTCGCGCATGTCAAGAAATTAGCAAACCGCCACCACCACTTAGTATCATAGCTCAGCTCCGCTTTAGCCGCTTATGAAGAGCGTGGGGTTTCTTAACTGACGGATCCCGAGCATGAGGCCGCAGCAACCATAGGCTCTGGTGGTGATCAACTCCAAGCGTCGCTGAATTATGGTACACGCCGATCGCCCATTGCGACCGCATCTACGCAACCGTTATACTCTAGCGGTGTGCACGCACATACTAGGTAGGAGGTATGTTAGGTATGTACAATAGAGGTAGGTAGGTAGAGCTGGAATACCTGCATCATACCTAACCTGACCTAACCTACCTGTGCAAATGTACTTACCATACATATAAGAAAAAGGTTCGAAATGACGAATCAGCCATCCATCAGTTCAACAACGGGAACTAGTGAGCTGCTTTAGTTGTTTCAGGCAACGGACCAGCTTCTGGCTGTTTTAACACGACGACCTCACTGACTTTCCCCCTCCCCCTTTAAGGGGCCCAACGAACACCTCTAGCCGATTTTCCGAAAGTGCAACGCTTACGACTTTCTTAGCTGGTTATATTTGAAATAAAGCGGCGTCAAAGCCTCACGATAACTTAGACGTCAACTACTGGCACCAGTTTGATGAGATGATGAGATATTATTTTACCATACATTGCATACATGTAGAATACATGTAGGTACAATAACAAAGTAGACCAGTCCCCCTCTTAACAGGTCCACTTGAGAAGATACTGTTACACCTAGTTAGCATTCTTTTTCCCCAGCCCCCTTCTCGCTAACCCAAATCGCTGCATCTTCAATTTACTGCTGCTTTTTTTAAAATTACTAACTAACTATGGTATTCTTCTTTTCTAGGTAACTAAGATGCTTTTATTAACATCTCGTTCCTGCAGTAGGGTAAATGGCTTTGTGTCACAGCTGGCGGCTTAAGCTTTTACAGAGCAAGAAGACATCCTTGTTCATTAAGAGGTAGTTACTTTTTGGATCGCAACGTCGTGGAAAGGGTATCCCATCTTTAATCATGACGACTTATCATTTTTAGCAAGTACCTAACCCCTACCTCCTCTTCCCCCCATCCCTCCCCCCCTGGAAGAAACCGTGTGCCAACCATTTCTCTTCCGCGAAAAGCTTGGCTATCGTTGTGTGCAACTAAAAAGCGGAAGTTCCCTTTTACTGCCTTTGGTGATCGCTAAGTTGAGAATACGCTCGGAATTAAGCCGCTATCATACTTTTCCGTGTTGTAGAGATGATGGTGAAAGTGGCCAATCATCAGCGACGCCATCTATCTAATCCGTAAGGGCCGTTCTACTTCCTACTTCACCACTATCCCCCGCCCGTATTTACTTGGGAGCCGATCTTTGCCTGGAGGTCTAGATCATGCATAGGTCGCGCATTCGCCAGCTACTACGTCGGGCTTCCGCCAACTGCCACGGTTACTCAGGTCGGCGACCAGACAATTTGACAACTGCGAAGATCCTTTCTTGGCAACTTCATCTCTTGGCAAGTCTGCAGTGCTCACACAGCCCCAAGGGAAAAAATGCTGCATGTCTTGGAGATCGTTCATCCGGCCAAACGCTGCGAGAACCCGAAGTTCTTCGAAAGTCTCGTATGTGGCATACGGTATGTCATCGAAACGGGTCCTTGCAGACTTTTTCACCTATTAGGGCTATCGCAAAGCAGAGGTAGATGGGTAGATGGGCAAAATATGTCGGTGCCCACCACGTAGGTCTCGTTACTCATAGATAACCGGACCGGCATACTGTTTAACGGCGCGCAAAGTTTAGCCCATATCCATGGCCGTGGGAATGGTGCCCCTTTACACGAAAGCTCGCGATCCCGCGGCGTACAGAATATGTGTTTCTACAGAATAGACACCCGCGTAATTATCATCCCGACTCATGAGTAACCGAGACCCGCGGTAAGCGTAAGCCACTATTGCCACATTCAGCTTTCGCGGTATCAAATGGCTATGCTTTTTCCCAGGTGAGAACCCTCTTTTAAAGCAGGTACGCGTAGGGTTTCGGGTCATAACAAGGCCCTAGAGTTTGAGAGTGTAACCAGAGATCGGCGGAACGGACGTAAGAGAAGGTTCCGCCTGTCGGGGTTTTGTCAATTCTTTGCATAGCTAGGAGATATCCAGTCCGTTTACGTGGCAAAGTCCAGTCTGACTGCTGGGCCTCCGCCTCTCCCAACGGCGGACGCCATGAGCGACCCCCCTCCTTCCCCTCCTCCCCATCGACGCGGGTGTAGGATTCACCTCCCTCCAGTTATGTCCATGTTGAACGCTCTGAGGACCCAGGTCTAGGGTAGGTAGGTAGTGTATTATTTTTTTTATCAGAGTGATCGACAGTGCCCAGACGGGCCGTGTCGGCATTTAAAAAAGCCATACCGATATGCTAAGAAAAGTATCGTGTAATAGTTGGGTAGGTAGCGCCTTCGGGACTGCTTTTCTGCAAGTGCTTCCTTAGCGGCAGACCTAAGTGTATGTGCGTATGTGCGTATGTGCGTATGTTCTGTATTGTACAATACAACATAATACAGTACAATAACGTAGGTACCATATGCGTGAGGAAGATGGAGAGAGAGCTAGGTAGGTAGGTATTGTACTTCTCATACCTACCACAAGGATCCTCTCCCCGTCATCGCAACTCTTCTCCCCACAAACCCGTGTCCCCGTGATCGTGGCCACCCCTCCTCCCCTGTGCAAGATCGATGTCTAACAGCAGCAGCAGCAGCACGACCGGCAGGGCAGTTTAATGAGGTGCGCTAACCACCTAGATGTAGACGAAGATTGGTCACACTGGTTCTACGGGGCATGTCTCGCATCGTTTTCCGAGTTGTGACGGGAATATGCTCGTCATTGGCTCTTCTTCTACTTCTTCTTCTTCTTCTTTTTTTTCTCCGTTGGGGAAAGGGGAAAAAAAGGGGGGAAAGGGGATACGGCAGGGAATCCGAAGATGTACCTACTATGGTGCCCCCAACCCCAGAAAGTACGTAGTAGTATTAGCTTTTTTCTTTGCCTTTCTTTCTCTCTTTTTTCTTTCTCCGCCACGATCATTTCGCGTCGTTCGTATCGTAGAACACTACCTGTTGTGCCAGTGCAGCCTCATTTTTTCCTCCCCCATCCCCTCAACAGGCCCTGTCCTGACCAGGTACGGACCAGGTACAAGTGGGCAGAAACTCAAGCGGGGAGTGGGTAGAGGGGACCTGCGAAGTTCCGATAGTTCTGGTGATCGTCATTAATGCATTTACGGCGCCAAGACCGGGTGGTAGGTGCGTCTTAGGCGCCTTTTTTTTTTTTCTTTATTTATTTATTTTTCTTTTCACATCACTTGCTACCAATCTTTTTTCTTGATCTTGCTAGCCTTGCAGTTGCTAGTTCTAGCTCACTTCCGCTTTTTCTTTTTTCCCCATCTCTTTGGGTGGTGACGTGACCCCGGCAAATTAAAGACAGAGACACGAAAATTGGCCGCCAGCCAGTCAAGAGGCTGGATCGAGACTGTTTATATAAACAGACCTGGAAAGTCTATATCATAATCTCGGCCAAATAAGGCTTCTCTCTAAGTTCTATGGTAAGCCGACCCGTATATTCCTGTGTATTTCTTTTTTTTTCTTATTTCTTTCCCGTGGAGGCTCCCTCCGGAAGTTAGCCGGTCCGCTTTATGAAGCCCGATAATCCTAACCTATATGCCGAACAAGGAGGGCTATATGTGACGGAAAAGACAATGCCAAGCTCGTGTCTTCAAAGTGGTAAGGGAAATGGCGCCCCATCGTTGTAATTGAAATGTCTTGGCACGCTGTGACCTCGACAGTGTGTGTCTTGTCACCTAGGTTACTGCTACTACTGATGATGATGATGCTGCCGCTAAGACTCTGGAAATTGCGGCGTTGTAATGTCTTTGAATTATCGATTCTTCATCCCTCAGTTCCCATTCGAAACAGATGCGGGCGCAACCAAGGCATCTGAAATCTGCAGCGTCACGGAACCGTCCTTTTCGCTTCGGACCATTTTGACGGACTGCAGATCCCGGACGATCCAGTCGGGCTCGGCGGCGAGCACCTGTTCGGCCGTATGGCTCGTGACCAGGCCAAGTACCTTGCATCCTGCGGCCTTGCCGGACCTGATGCCAGCCGGGCTATCCTCCAAGACGAGGACGTCAGGGCTGTCGTCAGAACTCAGCCCGAGCTTCTCCCGTCCCAGGTGGTAGCATGCCGGATCGGGCTTCCCGTTGGCGACGGACTCCGCCGTCACGAGGGTTTCTGGGTGCGGCAGCTTCAGCACGTCGAGCCAGCCCGTGACCAGCGGAAACGTGCCCGAGGTAACGATGGCCCAGCGCGCAGACCCGGTTATCAGGCTGCTGAGAAGGGCCCTCGCGCCTGGGATCTCGACCGCGTCTGCGCCGTGCAGTTTCGGGAGCAGGCTCTCCATGTGTCTCACATCTAAGCACGAAAGTCAGTTCACAGATTGATTCTGGGGGCTGACGTAGGTGTTGTCGCGGAGTAGAACAGATTTTATTTCAGGGGGCCGAGCAAGTAAGGCCGCAAGGGGGGTAACGTGTAAGGAGATCAGGGGAATAGAATACAGCGAAAGGGAGGAACGTTTTTCAACCGCCACAACCCTCTGGAAACCCATATATACCTACCTAGGAGGTAGGTAGGTAAGGTAGGTTCTAGACGGGTAGGGAGGTATGCATAGCGCGGACTCACATTCCCAGTTGGCTTTTTCCGGGCTGAGCAGCTTGAGCATGTCTATGCTCCGCCGGCCGTGAGACGTCTGCAGGATAACCTCCGGGTCTACACCGATCTCATTGCCGATTCTGTCTCTAACTTAGAACTAACTCCTAAGTTCCTCCCTTTTTTTTCTTTCTTCATTTTGGGAGGGAGAGGAACTTACGTTTGCCAGTGCTTGACGACTGCGGCTGTTGAATCGATGATAGTGCCGTCCATGTCGAAGAGCAGTCCCTTGAAAGAGACCTCGAATGGGGGCGTTGAATAGTCCATTATATATATATGGATGGATATATTATATTGCGCTCTTTTTGTGTATTGTATTAAGTGTTTATTCTAAAATGATATGATTGATTTCATGAATCGGAGTTAAGTTGGTTGGGGTTGGATATTAATTAAAGAAAACGATTCCTGTTGAGCTTCTATGTGAATGGAATGTATGAATGAATGAACTCGGGGTTCCGCCGGTCTAAGCAACTTAAATGTCAAAGTTAGGTCGGGATAAGCGCGATCGAGTTAGGAAACTCCGCCATGTACCTAATAATAAGTTCCAGTTTTTTATGTTTCTTTCGGGCCGCGCAGAACTGAAGTCATCGTGAGAGGCCGAAACGCCGCTAAAGACGTCTAGGTTAGGTAGCTGTTTTAAGGGACCTTTCAATGGGAGATCCAGTCTTTCTTATCGCTGAGCGGGCAGGTGGTGTCGACCAATCAGCACGTCTGATGAACGGTCTTATCTCGGGCGGTGGACTGCGGCAGAACCTTATCGCATTTTTTCAACACCAAATTTCTTAACTTTTTTTTTATATGCCGATAAACTTGGAGAAGTACAATTCAATTCATATTACCGGTTGCAAGGCACAGCAAGTTAAAAATGGCCAATCACATTACCAAACCAAAGAGTACGTATAATTGAGTCCGAATTCATTTTTATAAATTATAAATAAATATACTGTGCCTTTTACTAACCTAACCTACCTATTCTATAGAAGCAAAGTCCAAGCGGACACCCGTCCGTCTACGCCACAAGATCGAGAAGGCGTCGGCCGCAAAGCAGCGCAAAGCTAGAAAAGAAGCCAAGAAGAACCCCCAATGGAAGTCCAAGCTAAAGAAGGACCCGGGTATCCCCAACCTATTCCCATACAAGGAGAAGATCCTACATGAGATCGAGGAGGGTCGACGGAGAAAACAAGAGGAACAACAACGTCGAAGAGAGTTAGCTAAGGCTGCGAAGACGGGCTCTACGAACGAAGCTGAGAATGACGAAGATGCTATGGAAGACTCTCAGGATGAGGATTTCGACGGCTTTGGAGATGACAATAACGATGATGCGATGGACGAGGATGATGTCGACGACTCGTCGAATCCCATGGCGGCGCTTCTTGCGAGCGCGAGAGCTGCTGCCGAGAAGTATGACCGCGAACTCCAAAGTGGGGATGATATGGACGAAGATGAGTCTTCAGATGACGACGACTTCGAAGACGGAAGTGCCGAGTTACGTGCTCAGTCTTCATCGCGGAAAGCCCACGACAAGGTCTTCAAGCAAGTCGTAGACCAGGCGGATGTTGTTCTCTACGTTCTAGATGCCAGAGATCCCGAAGGAACAAGGTCGAGAGAAGTCGAGCGTATGGTAATGGCATCGGCGAGTGGCGGCAAGCGGTTAATCCTCATTCTCAACAAGATCGACTTAGTCCCGCCGCACGTCCTTAAGGATTGGCTCACGTACCTACGGAGATATTTCCCTACCATCCCCCTCCGCGCTTCCGGCTCCGCGCCCAACGCGCAGACTTTCAACCACCGCGATCTCACCGTCCAGAGCACCTCCTCCACGCTCTTCAGGTCCCTGAAATCCTTCGCCGCCACGAGGCAGCTCAAGCGCGCCATCTCCGTCGGCGTCATCGGGTACCCCAACGTGGGTAAGTCCTCCGTCATCAACGCGCTGCTCTCGCGCCTCGGCGGTAACCGCGGCAGCGCTGCCGCGTGCCCCGCGGGTGCCGAGGCCGGCGTGACGACGAGCATCCGCGCCGTCAAGATCGACAGCAAGCTCACGCTGCTCGACTCCCCCGGGATCGTGTTCCCCTCGGCGCACACGGGGGGCGAGGCCACGGCCGCCCCCTTGAAGAAGAGCGCGGTGGAGGCGCATGCGCACCTCGTCCTGCTAAACGCCATCCCGCCCAAGCAGATCGACGACCCGGTCCCCGCCGTGGCGCTCCTGCTCAAGAGGCTGGCAGCGTCGCCGGAGCTCCTCCAGAAGCTGATGGACGTGTACGACCTCCCGCCGCTCGTGGCGGGCGCCGACGGCGACCCGACGACCGACTTCCTCGTGCAGGTCGCGCGGAAGCGCGGGCGGCTCGGCCGCGGCGGGGTGCCGAACCTCGCGGCGGCCGCGATGACGGTCGTGATGGACTGGAGGGACGGCCGGATCCAGGGGTGGGTAGACGCGCCGAAGCTGCCGGTCGCGACGGAGATGTCGGGGGTGGCGGGCGCGTCGGCCGCGATGCCGGATCAGAAGGAGATCGTGACGGAGTGGGCGAAGGAGTTCAAGCTCGAGGGCCTGTGGGGGGATGACGAAGGGAAGGAGGGGGAGAAGGGGGAAGGGGATAAGATGGAGCAGTGAGAGGCGGTATGCGGTATGCGGTATAGGGACGAACTTAATATCAAGTCTGCAGGCAGGAAGAAGAGACCACGGGGGAGGGAGAGAAAGAAATAGGTATATGAGATGCGGAAAATCCGGAATGAGGACTAAAGCAGCACGCGCTGTGACTTGACTTTACTTGACTTTACTTTACCCTGACTTCAGGTCAGGGCGGGAGTTGGGAACTGGGAAAATAGGTTCGCGTTTCGAGACAGGTAGTTGCTTTTATATGATATGAGTCTTAGAGCAAGTCTTGGTCTTGGTGTCTATTGATTGGTTGGTTGGCACATAAATATAGGAGGTATGAAAGGAAGTGAAACTGCTTGCCCTGGCTTAGTGTGAAGTGAATATACCGAGGCGCGTGTATAAGTAGCAACTATGTTCAGACGTCCAGAACAGTGAAGGAGAGAGTACTTGGCGTAGACTTTAGAGGCTGGAGATGGTAGAGGCATGCTTATAGGATCATGTCAATCTACCTCTTAGCAAAAATGAATCCCCGCGCTAGTAGCGCAGTCGGTGCTTATATCCAATCGTGTGATGTAGGTTCATCATAATCGTGAGTTCTATTCTCTGCTAATACACATGTATGTCCTTTACCTACGCAGGTGTATCCCCCAACGCCGGCATGCCACAGTTAGTCAATCATAAGGATATACCCCATACGCCTTCCCAAGTAATATTTTAGTAAAGAAACACATACAGGTATCGAAATAGCAAACAGTTACAAAGGAAAATACACCGCCTAGCCTTTCGAGTCTTCGTCCACCCTCTCGGGGTCCCTCCCATGAGAAGCCATTGCCACTCGCCCAGTCCGCCTAGCGAGGGGTATGCTACCCGTTTTGTGTTTCATGCTTTCGAAAAGCCCCTTAACCCTTGATGGTTTATACCACCTTTGGCGCTTTTCCTCGGACTCAAATCGCTGTTCTGTCGCAGACGAGGTAGAGGCGGGTTGTGGATCGGTTATCTCAGCATAAGCTTGACGCGCTTTGGCGAGTAACTCTTGAGAAAGAATTCGACTAGGATTATTCTCGTTGAGCGTTGTTTTTTCTATTCGAACAACGTATTCCAATAGATCAATAGCTTCTTGTATTTGCCCGTTTTCTAGATATGAGCTAGCAAGCATATGTTGTGAAGTAAGTCGATCGGGATGTGTCTTACTAAGTGTTGTTTTTTCGATTTGAACAACGTATTCCAATAGATCAATAGCTTCTTGTATTTGCCCGTTTTTTAGATATGAGCTAGCAAGCATATGTTGTGAAGCAAGTCGATCGGGATGTGTCTCACTAAGTATCGTCTTTCTAATTTGAACAACGTATTCTAATAGATCAATAGCTTCTTGTATTTGCCCGTTTTCTAGATATGAGCTAGCAAGCCTATGTCGTGAACCGAGCTGAACGAGATGCGTTTCATCAAGTTTCATTCCTTGTATCTGGATTATCTGCCTTAACAGTTTGATTGAAAGCTCTAGATTTCTCTGCTCGAAAGCGTTACTTGAGCTCAAGTCGTAAAGAACTAAAAACCTTTCGCTGGGGGTGTCACGACTGATGTCTAGGTCGGTAAAGATATATTTCAGAAGTTCCTCTAGCTTTTGATCATATCGTAATCGGTCTAATAGCCAGCCGATTTGGACGTATGCTGGTAACAAGTAGCCATGCAACCTTTTTTGTGTCAGTGAACTCGGCTCCAGAAATGGCAATAGGTGGGGGCCTATGCGGTCACGATATGGCTGCCAATGGCGCTGGCAGTAAAAAGAGAGTGCGAAGATGCATAAGCCCTTGTCCAGGGATTCCTCTCTCTCGGTCTGTGTTTGACGGAGGTTGATCCAGCTATGGACGAGTGGATGCATAGACACTGTGTCGCATTTGTCGATGTTGCTCTTTCTAATCAGAGCAAGAGATTCGAGCAGGTTCACAGCCTGCAACATACGAAATGAACCCCAAGTATCACTATGTGGTTCAAGGAAATCCGGAAGCTGCGAAACGTGCTCATCGGTCAGGTACTTGAGATAATCATCATCATCATCATCTCGATCTTCTTCCCGAAGTTCTTGCGCGCCATTCCATGCGTCATGTAAAAGATCCAGAGGCATATTTTCATAGTGCAGTGGCGATAACACTTGGAGGAGACATAAAGAATCTCGAGCCTGCTCCGACTCCATGCTGTCCAAAATCTCTGCCGATGCTTCAAAAGTAGCATACACATTGCGGTATCTCGATTGGTCCTGGGTCAAGTTAAACTTAAACACCTGTTCGCGTTTCTTTTGCACAACGTCGGGATATTCCCCCAGGGAACAATATTTGTGCGCAATATACGCTCCAGCTTGCAATATAGCAAGCGTATGTGAACCCAAGATATCAACGACTCTCGCAGCATCGTGGTGGTTCGGTTCTAGCAGATTTGAAGTGGATTTTATCCGTTGCAAGAGGAGGCTAATACAGTCCTCTTTGTCTAGGCTGCTAAGATCTATGGCACCAACCGTCGCGTAAGTACGACATTCGGGATTTCTAGACGTTACGATAATTGCGCCTCGAGTGCCAGAAGGACAGTACTGTTGGTAGTCGACAGTTGGATCGTCGGCGTTATCCAAGATGAGGAGCCAGTGGTCCTTAGGGTCGACATTAGAAAGAGCAAGTCGAGCGTCGTCAATCTCTGTTCCGTTTGACCCCAGCTTCTTTGCTATGGCGGAGAACCCTGCTTTGGCAGTAGAGCTGCTGCTAACATCTACCCAGAACACGCCCCAGAATCTAAAAACGAGTAGTTAGTAATGGGAAATGGAGATAGAAAGTTATTTAACTTGCTCTTCGCGAAGTTCTTGGGCCGCCCGGAGGCAAATTTCACTTTTGCCCATGCCGCCTATCCCAGTCAAGACAAATCTCTTCTGGGTATGAGATCGGGAGGAAGTCACAGCGTTTCTAATTTTCTGTATTATGTCCCGTCTACCGGTAAATATCGGACTGGCAGACCGCGGGACGATCCAGTGCATATTTCTAGCTAAACGTATACGTTCAGTCTCTAGCGCGAGGCCAATTTGCTTCACAATGGTTCCCAACACGAGCCTGCAGTTTGACGAGTCAATCGAATCAAACTTGCAGATAGAGCTGTGGTCGGCAGTTACTGGAACTTGCTTCTCTCGGGGCCCAGGCAGTCCTAGAGTCGCAGAATCCTGGTTTACTATCTAGAGGTAGGGGGTTAGTTAAAGGGCCGGATTAACGGGATGCTTGTTGCCAACGTACGATTCCTAACTTGCCATATGATTCTCCTTCGAAAAAGTTCACAACGAGGCATCGCTCATATATATGTCGCGATTGAACAAACCGTTTGTTCGCGCTGTCGGAATTCTTTTGGAGCTCATCGAGAAGCTTATTATCACGTCGGTTGCCTGAACCAAATCTAACTATCTTGGCAACAATATCACCAATGTTGGCGTAGTTTCCACCGCGATGGGGTGTGGCGAAGAAAACAAGCAGTCTGGTCGCCTGGAGGATGGGCTTGCGTGTATCGTCTAAACTTGCTTCGATAAGAGCCTGTACTAGTCGTTAACTTGAAGGTACGACTTATGGGTACGTGTGTACGTCTCATGGGTAATTCTACTAACCTCCTTAACAACCAAGCCGCCAAGGCTGTGACAGATGAATACGAGTGGTCTTTGTGGTGCCTTCTATACTGTTGTAAGAAATACATCATTCAGGAAATATACGTAAAGCTAACCTCTCTCTCGAGCTCAAGCAACTGGAGCAGAGTCTTGGCATGGTTATCGAGTTTCATTGCTGAAGCACCCAAGGCAGGGCTAGAGTTATAGGAGAACAGCATGACCCGAGCTGGCTTCGTGAGTTTTCCAGGTAGAAAGTCCCTCAACCATAGACATTTGCCCGCCTTCCAGGTATCTTGCGCATGGTCGGGGTTATTCCTAAAGTTGAGCCCATGTACTGCCACGATACTAGCAGAAGCGTTTGTCAGTGACAATCGTTCGTCGGGACGAAGATGAATTGGAGTATAGCTCACTCTATCTCTGGGATGGCGGGATCCGGGCTAACCCTGCTACTATCAAAAAGGATCTGAAGCTCAGTTTCACGCATAGTGCTAGGATCATCGGTAAAAGGTATGATGATGGTGGTGATTTTTGGAACGGTGTAAAAGAAGGGAGAGGGATGGGTTACGACTTTAAGGTTGCAAATGGATTGGAGGTGGCGGTCGGGCGCAGTCTTATCAGCTCGACACGAAGCCCTGCGTTCTGCAGGTATATTCATATTCACGAATCAGAATGCGCCGACGCCACCACTGCCTAGCAGATTGGCGATTAGCCATACTTGTAAATACCACGTTAGGCAGGCTGGGGCATCCCTAATGACGATTGGTTTAGAAGCACCGGGTTTCGGAGCAACATAATGATCGTGGCACTCGTACATTTCTTGGAGAGAGAAGGGTCGTAGTAATATGGCCTATGACCTAGGTACCTGGGTACCTAGGTAGGTATTTATGGATTACGCGATATATCACAAGGTAGAGCGAAAACCATGGAAATAACTTCTTTCTCCTGGAGGAACTTAAACTCGAAAGCTTCTAAAAACCAAAACCATACACACAAAATATATTCCTTGTCCTAGATGCCTCATCTACCAAGAACAAGTGACTCTGTTGTTCCTTTGTCTTGCTATTACGAAGTATTAACTTAAGATGTACCTAAGGTATATACAAGGTAGGTAGGTACCTAGGTACCTTAGGTAGGTAACCTAACACCTAGAGCCCCTACGAGCCAAACGCCATATCACTAGTGACTATTCCTAGAGGTCCGATATCAAGTATAAATTTACCTGATGTCGGGTCTATTCGTAATATGTATTTTTAGCGTGGTTAAAGCGACCTATAGAGAGCCCTTCCGGTTTCTCGCCGATCATAATATGTAACGAGCTCCTAAACACATTAGTCACCTCTTTTTCTCGCTTTCACCTTCACGAAAAAGTTCGTTGTCACCGTCTCTGTCTGTGACCTGAAAGTATAATCGAGGTACCTAGGTAGAGTGTCAGGGGTATAGGGCACAAGGACGGATTGGGATATGAGGTCGATTAGGATAGGTGTATATAAGGGGCACGCTGCTTCCTCGAAGCACCTTCAAGGGGCAAGCGCTAATAGATCACTACTCTACACCGCATACTTGACACTCTCTACGTGCTATTGTCTCTAGTGTTTACTCTACGTACGATATACATCGCGGGATCTCTCTAACATAGAGCATCCAGCCCGCAAGTCAGTACTCTAATTGAGCGTATCGTGTCCGTCTCCAGGGTATTTCCGAAGGCGTCGGTAGGTATTCATGACTCCATTATGATTTGACGTCACTTCGAAATCATGATTCTTAAGCGGGATGAGTTTACCTCTCGTTCTAAAAGGACAATTGTGACAATTTAGAAACTCTGGGTCTTCACTCTCAAGCTTTACGTCAGGCTATACTTAATAGATATAGGGGCATACTCAGTATATAAGAGGCTCCCAGCACCTTTGCAAGAAGATACAAGACTAGAAGTTGATATAATAATACTACTACTAGCCTGCTATTTACTCTGTACAGAAAATTTATCACCGGTATCAACTGAAGACTAGAAATCTGGCACTTTGTTCCCCATTCATGGTTTTATAAATACCTAGGTAGGTATCTGCATTTCTAAAGTGTTTATTCGAGACCTTACAACTTTACTGTCACGGTACGGTCCTATAGAACAGACCCTGGTGGGTCACCATCGTGTATATAAGGTAGGTAGCTAGATGAGGGACTACCTACTGGTTCCCTTTTCCCTTCTTTGAGCAACAACAATTATCTCTACTCAAACCTTGACATTTACCTACCCCCCTAGACAACTCAACATTGCCAGGTATCAGATGTCAGACATGAAAGGACAAATAAGATGTCTATACCAAAGAACAAAGGAAATATTTGTATGTACAGCTCTGGTTCTCAGAGCTACCTTAGTCAGAGTTCCTCGCGGAATGTCACAGTACCGCCTGTGAAGGTCCTTATAGGTGGAGATAGCAAGGTCAACCCCTCTAGTTGACATCGTTCTACCTTTTGGTAGTGGAGCGGTTTGATAGCTATCTTCCCGAACCCTTATACAGGACAACAGTTATTTACTAACCTTCTAGTCTATCCCATGACACTAAGTGAGAAGAGGACGAAATCTTCATTATTACGTATAGGTTATGAACTATGGGATACTAGACTCGAACATTTGCTGGGCTTGATCGTGGGTCTTGGTGCTCGAGTGACTGTATCTAGCGTAGTTGTTTTACAATGAAAGTGCGAACATGGCTATGCTGAAGTATGAGGAGCTTTGAACTCACCCAAGGCTTGACGGTTCTTCAGATTTGCGTCCTAGGTGTATATGGATTACGGTGGACGAAGTGTTGCTATTAAAGGTATTCGGCGAGACGCTCAACTGGCTCTGCTAAGCTTATGAACAAACTTCTTCATATACTCTTCTATATAAGATAGCTAGTTCTACCTATGTTCCGTTAGTTATTGTTTTTACTTCTAGAAATCATACTCCTTAACTTCAGTAAATACTTTCAGACTCAGGATAATGGATGGTTGCTTTTCAATGCGCTCTGTTCTAGAGGCTTGGGTGAGAACTATGTTTTAAGAATCTGGAAATGTGAATAGTCGTCATGAGGTCAAATCAAAGATAAGAGGTGTCACGTTGCAGAGCATGAGGTAGGAAAACAACTTTGTTGTTCCGCAAGGAACTCTAACTACAGTAGTTTTGAAGCCAAAGCTATATACAAAACAATTCCTTTGTTCCGAGATGAGACTCCTGACAAGAGGGAAACTTTTTTATCCTGTGCGGAACTCTAATCTAGCTACGAATCTTATGGCTATACATGGCGGTACTTATAATTATGCTTTCTCTTGTATGCCCCATCTAGAACCTGACAATATCGGCTCCTGTCCTCCCATGATGGAAGTTAGACGTACCTGGGCCTTGCATGCCTGGCGGGTACCTACTTACCTAGGTATTCGCGGTTAACTGCTATTGAAAGCTAAAACACCATCTAATGCTATTATTCTTTGGATTCTCAGTCAATATCTCAGTATAGGGGGCTAATATTCCATGAGATACGGTGATCTCAGAATGTCTAGTTGTCTATGACAAGAGTTACTACGGCCCTTCTTCGTCTCCCCGTCTTAATAAGACCTGCTGAATTAGACATTTTATTCATATTTGCCTCGCGTCAGGTTTAGCAACGAGTTTATGATGTAGCATTCATGATAAATACGACCTCTTAAACCGGACGTTTCGAACATCTCCTTCTAATGACGGATTGGGTATTAGGTACTAGTTTAGCAAGTATTCTTATTATAGGAGTGACGATGGGTCTTGATGGTCCATCCTAAGCAGGGACGAAATGTAAAAGCGCTGTCTCATCCTGCAGTATTCAAGGTACGGAAACAATCAATATCATCGGCATAGGTGCTGATCACGGTATATCGCGTCAGTGCCCTAGCGGGACGTGGCTTCGGGCTTTCTTACCGTAGGAGCTACGGCATGGCTGGGAATATCTGTCGAGATATGGTGACCATACAATTAATATACACTGTGTTTGGATTCCTTTCGCGATTCAGTATGCATGCCTTCCGATATGATTGTATTATTCGTCTTATATCCGAGATGAATGGCTCAGATACTCATGTAACTATCTTGTCCGGGCTTGTATACTTTAGTATTCCACCCAAACCTCTTATCTTGATACCCGACCTGGTTGCGATTGTATCAGATATCATATGCATCTTGGTTAGCCTAGGTATATGTGACTGGCATAATTACAGCGGTGCCAGCCCCCAAGGGTATCATTTACCGAACAAAAGGGGTGTTCGTATGGCGTCCCGACAGCAGGGAAAGGGAGACCGCTAGGGTTAACCGAAATATCAAGGGCCAGGGGGGGATGAACAGCTCGAGCGTTCATGGGCGGAGACCCCATACTTTCCTTTCACACTTGGATCTGACATTTCCAAAGCTGTATATGACCTACCGCTCATAGTATTTCGGCTGACCTATGTATCTCGTATGGAAATAAACAAACAATTATTATACTAAACCCGGAGGATTCCTTCTTTCGAGTCCGCCCCAATGGGTCCGGGCTCCCACGTGTCCGCCTGATTTGCTCGACCAGGCTTGGCTCAGCTCCATCGTACTAAGAAACCATACCTAGCCAGCCAGCCAGCAAGTCATACATACATTCCATAGTGTAGTCCCGTAATATCCGACGAACCAGCGGGTGAGAAATCTCGGCCCAGGAGACCCTTAACCCTGCTCCTCGACGGCCCCCAAATCTCCCCCAATTCCCTTGGCAGTTTAGAGAGACTAAGAGAGAGCGTTTAGAAAGAAAATGGAAGATACCGAGAAGGAAAAAAACATGACATAGGTACCTAAGTAGTTAAAGAAGAGTCGGTGAAACCATACGCTCGGGTTTCCCACGTCGTATCCTTCTTGATAGGTATCTCCAACTAGAACGCGATCAACCCACGTGTACTTGAGTCGAAGAACACCGCCTCGCCACGCACGTACCCAGGCTTAATCGAGCTAGGTTCAACGATCGCGAGTCAGACAAGTGAAGTTTGGATCGGGGCATAAAGATACATACAGCAACTACTACTACTACTACTACTACTAAATGTAGACAAGTGATGGTTTTCAGGGGCCAGACGATCATCGTGGCCGCTAGGTATCTATCTACTAGGTAACCGTCGCGGTTGGCCTGTCTGCCGAACGCTGAAATACGGACCGGTAGCCCCTGGGACCAACCAGGCACTTACTTCACTTATCACTACATAGGTACGAATGGTACCCTGCTACGTACAGGTAGCTATTGTACCTACACGTAATTGGAATACTAGAAGCCGTACATAGTTGTAGGAATTCCGTAACAAAAAAGAAGATGTAAGCAACGCAAAAGAAGTTTTTTTTAAAAAAAAAAATAAAATGAAAAACTCAACAGATAAATCTTCTCAAGCCGGCAGGGATACCGATCCACCCTCGCGGACCCCGGGACCGAGGGCGCATATGAGGAGGTACCTACATGCATACCTAACCTAACCTACCTCTACCTAGGAAACTTAACCTAACTTATATCTCGCTCTGGGGATTTCGCGTACGTACATACATATATGCCATGTACATAATCCCGTCAGATGTGCATACCTAACCTACCTACGCAGTCGCACATAAAAAAAGGGTCCAGGATTTGGGGAGAAAGAAACCCCCCCCAAAAGAAAAAGGGGGTTAGGTTTAAAACCTTCCGGACCCCAACCTCCCTCCATTTTCTTCTCTTCTCTGCCCTCCTCGCTTATCCTTCCCTCGTGTCAAATCGGGGTTGACGGGTATGCTGTGCACCTGTGGTAGTAGGTAGGTTTAGGTAGGTAGGTAAGCATGTAAGAATATAAAAGGTAAGCTAAGTAAAGTAGGGTACCTCTCATTAAGATGACTACCTAACCTAACGTAAGGTAGTAGAGTTAGGTTAGGTAGTTATTTCTATTATACGCGTATTTGAAAAAAAGCCAAAACAAAACAAAAAACAACAAGAAGTAATTAGCCCCAAGGCACGGTTTAATGTATGTACAATACGTACGTATGTAAGATACCTTCTTCTACAACATCCGTTACTGCAGGGCCGGCATTATGTAGGTCAGCATGGAAGCATGTGGACTCCGCAACCCGCAACGGAGTGTACCCTCTCATTGGTAAGGTAGGGCTGAGTCAGATCTCCCGTACCGTTGGTCCCAACGGCGCAAGCATTGGTTGGTTGGTTGTATGTAAGTAACCTACCTCACCTACCTACCTACCTAACCTAAGGAGGTATGTAAGATATGGGAAGTGTGTAATGTGGTGGATAAATCGTAGGTAGGTGCAAAACCTAACTTAGCCTACCTGTAACTAACTTATTAACCTAAACTAAACTGACCTGACCTCTTCACCTGACTTGACCTAACCCTGATTCAAGGAAGGTTAGGTTAGGTTAGTTAATAAGTTTATCTCCTCGTGGGATTTGCATCTCGTTACGTTGCCCGACTCCCTACCTGCCCTTTACCGCGCGCCGCGCTGCGCTTACCGCTATGCTCGCTCCCGTCCCGCCGGATCCAAACGTGTGGAATGTCGTGGTAGGGTAGGGTAGGGTTGCCTTAGGTACCTCCTACCTAGGTAAGGTAGGGATGGTATGAGATGCGTGGATGTGGGTGTAAGAAGTACCTTACCTGGTATCATGTATATGCGGCATGGGCATGGCATGGCATGCGTCGACGCGGAGCATGTCTAGGTACCTAACGTTCTTAGGGCAACGCACATACATAAATACACACATATATGTACCTAATGCATACCTAAGGCAGCGTATGTACGGGTAGGGCATGGATATAGCTACCTGGTCTGGAACGATCTATCCATCTATCTATCAGCTGATTAATTGTCTGCCCCGCGGAAGGGATTGAGAAACATCCTGCAGCTCCCTTCCTACGTAGTAGTCTTAAGTCTTAAGTCTTAAGTTAGTGATTATCATGAGATTCAATACGTAACTGTATATCCATCGCAGCCAAAGGGCTTTCTATCCCTCGTCCTGGAGCTCGATGCGCCCGAGATCGTCGCATCTCTCTACGCAAGGGATATCATGATCATCACCCGCATCATGGGTAGGATAAGGGGTTCCCGGCACTCGTTTATTAAGTACCCGTAATAAGTCTAGATACGGTCCTGGTATACTGGACACCTTTACTACTGATTGACTACCTTCCACGCGCAACAACGCCTAGACTAAATCGGAACATAACCGGCAATTGGCTCCCTCCCTTCTGAAAGACAACCCTAAGGTCGATACAAGGAATTCCGATATCCCCTGTGATGCAAATTTGACCCTCCAAAAGCCCATTTAGAAAAAGAATTCATGGGGAATAGACAGACAGCCAACACCCAAGCTCAATCAATGAGCAAGAGTCTAACCGCCCCCTGATCGAATGATCCTTTCGATCCCGTCTTGTGTAGCTACCGTCTTGTGTAGCTACCCAAGCCCGAACGATAGTAAAGTAACACAAGAACAGTGGCAAAACAAAGTAAACTCCACCAATGCTAACTGATTGATACGTGCGCTGTTTCCAGTTCCCCTCATGAAAGGCAAAATAAAGTTGTACCAAAGAAGCAAATATAATAAACAAGAATAAAGGAGAGCGCAGAAAAACAAAAGTAACAGAAACCCTCCCTAGCCCATAACCATAAAACCAAAAAAGCACCTCCCCACCTTTATGCAATGCCGTGACCATTAAGTAACTGGCATCGAGGCCGAAACTAACAGCTGCGCTGCGCTGCACTGTTTCCGGCATTACCAACCCTAATCCATGGCCAAGCTGCGATAGGGGAGATTGAGAAGATGCTAGTAGTCGATTTCTTGGGTTTGCAACACCCAACTAGTAGGGACTTGGTATAAGAATGGTGTGGTGCCGCGGAACGACGAGAAATCAATACTTGCACTCGTGAAAATATGCAAGCGCATACCAACTCTGTAGATCCCCCCTTTGTTAGCAACACAATACGGTATGCAAATCCGTAATATGATAGCCAAAGCGGTTTGCGAGCATCGGTGGTGTAAAGGGTATCGCAGAAAGTAAAATGAATAGATATCTGATCAAAACGAATGAAGGATAGCGCGAGAGAGGATAGCGCAGGAAAAAAAAAACAAAACACGGAATCCACAGTGGTATCAAGTGTATATGCAAAATGCTGTCCAAAAAATTGAGCTTGGTAATACGACTGGCCGTAATTTCATCATGCAGAACGAAGCGCAGGGGGAAACAGCCTACCAGGTCCCAATCTTGTCCAAATGGACGTAAGTTTCATAGACCTTCCCCAAAATGCGACCAAAAAAGTCCCCTACTCCTCTATTGCCGAGTTAGGCCAGATAGTGCAAGCAGGTTTATAGCCCCATTGAATCAAAGAACCATCCCAGAGACGTCAAAGTTAGAAGTGGTGGGTTTTACTAAACCAAAAACTCCGAATCCCGTCACTGAGGTTGGTTGGCCCACCACGTCTGGCCAGCTGAAGTTTGTGGAGTATTCCATGCCGATGTGACAGCCGGCCCAGGACCGGGGTTTTGGGGCAAAAACTGTCTAGGAGTTTGCTCGGGGGGATACATGCCTTGGCCCGGGTTGGGATAACTCTGTCCTATTCCTGGCATCCCATGGTACTGCATAGGACTCGGCTGCATCTGGGGGGGACCTCCCGAGTGGCGTAGTTGCGGTGCTGGCGATTGCTGAGGGTGAGGCGAGGCTTGGGACTGAGTTGTATACCCTTGATAATGTTGAGGCGTTTGGGGCGTTTGAGGACCCCACATCTGGTTTGAAGAGCCGTAGTTATATGCAGTAGTTCCTTGGGACATGTTGCCAGAAGCACCAGGCTGGATGTTGGAAGGTCTCGGCTGCTTCTGGGAAGATGGTTGAGGAACTCCCCGCATTGGTTGGCCGATCGGCTGCTGAGAATGTAAGGGTTGGGAGTAAGGAGGAGCGGTCATCATCATCTGTGGGCTCTGGTTCGGTACAATGGTGGACGTCTGCATACTTGCTGGTGCGGCGTGAGGCGACTGTCCCGGACGCGTCGTAGGTAGGGATGACTCGGTCGTTACGGGCTGAGTAGTCGGCGGCTGCTCGTGAGGTCTCCGCCACAGGTTGTTCATGTAGTCGGTCCGCATGTCGCGTTGCTGGTTGACTGTGCGATTAAACTCGGCAGCATGGTGCGCCTGTTGATTTATTTCCGATATGGGACTTGACTGCGTCCTATCCTGGTAGGCCGGGCCGGTAATCTCCTGTCGAGGGCCACCCTTAATGAAATTGCTATAGTCTCGAGTCCTCGTATCGTTCAGATCTGGTCCTACTGTTATCATGGGCATTCTGGTCGAGCTTCCTGGCGGTCCCATCATACCTGGTTGAACAAGGGGCTGCGGTGCACCGCCGAATGGCGGAGTGTTCGCATATACAATCTCACCGTGGGGGGCTCCTGGAAGGGCCGCCATACTATTACTTGCTTCAGCCGCTTCTCTGGCTTTAGACGCGCCTGGTCTCTTCTCTCCGGCAAGGTCAGCTTCGGTAAAACCCTGTTTCCTCGCCTTCTGCTCCCAATAATCATCTCGTACCCTTCGTCCGTTGGCTATGACTCTGCTTCCGAATTGACGAAACATGGATCGGGCTGTGACTATGGCGATCTGCCTTGACCTGTAGGAGAATGGAAGTATATCCTGGGTGACCAGATCGTCCTTTTCGACTTGATTTGCAATGATCTTGAAAAGGGATCGGTTTTTATTAAAGAGCAAATAAGAGTCTCTGTATCCTAAAACTCTCGCACACTCCGTAGCTAGCATAAATAACTTATCGCCGCGGTTGGGAACAAGGAAGGTTCGGCATCGGTACTCGCGTCCGCCTAGAAGCTGGCCGTTGGGCATAACTTTCTTCTCTCCAGCCTCGTCGATTTCGCGGGGCAGGTACTCGTCACCGCCGGGTCCGAGCTGGTCCGTGGTATGATCGCGTACAGTCGGCAACGCCTTCAATGTCGTCTTGGTAGGTGTAGTCTTCGGCGGAGGCGACGCCTGGGCCGGAGTGTAGGCCTGCTGTCCAGGTAGCGGGGCATTCTGAGACTGGGGAGTGTGCGGCGGTATAGGCTGCGACATTTGGGGGGCAGGATGTGGATGGAGATGGGGATGAGGAATCTGTGTCTGATTCGGTGGTTCCGGCAAGTCACCAGAAGTCCGCGATTTCATCGGTCGGCCGCGCTTTCTAGGTTGTTTCGAATCACCTACGATATAGTAAAATGTATTAGCAGGTAGCTCCTTGCGGTAAGCTGTTGCACGACAAGATGATGTAACATAGCGCACGATGCGCACAGCGGCAACTGTGATTGATAGGGTGCACAAAAGCTAGGCGGCGGCTTACCATCATCTCCGGGAGTCTCAGACAAGGGCGCGTCTTGGTAGGAGTCCGGGGAACGACTTCTCTTGAGACCTCGGGAGCCCGGATTCAATAATTCTGCGCAATTAAAAGCGTCGGGTCAGTAATCGGCGATCAAATAACAACGGCGCGACCGTCGAGCGAAAGGAAAACCGGTATCGAGACGACAGGTGGGTATATATGCCATCACGACGGTGATTTGTTTTTAAAGTAAATCAGAGTCGCGTCTTGCTCGCTAGAGCGAGAGGTGAAGGGACGGATAAATGATCACGATCACGATCATTCGTGGCTGAGCTGCGAATATGTAACGAGGTGGGCTAGAGGGAGGAGCCTCAAAGCTTCAAAGCTCAACAAAGTTTTAAAGCTTTAAAGCTTTAAAACTCAAGGTTCAAAAACTCTTTCTCTCTCTGTCTGTCTGTCTGTCCGTCTCCCTCTCACACAAGAAGAAGAGGCTAAAATTTCGAGTAAAACACCGGCGCGCATTGTTGGCGCGGCACGATTTGAAAAAGAAAAAAAAAGGAAAAAGAGATACCAAAAAAATAAAAGAGATCAGAAAGATCAAAAAGGACGACAACCATCAAAATGAAAAGAAAAGGAGAGGCTTGAAATTAAATGCGCGGATACTCACCAGAATTGAGAGCAGCAGGGTTGATAGTCGCGGGATTGATGGTCGCACCCTCAGCGCCATTAGGCTGGGTGGAATACATTCGGGCAACGAGGCGATGTTGCACGTCTGGCGGGAAACGAGACGTGGAGAAAGCTGTGCCTGCAGAGCGACGTGTCTTGATATAGTTGGACTAGAATAAAAAAAAAGAAAACAAAAATAAAAAAAGGCGGAAGAAGGGTGGATGACGCGCGCAACAAGGCGAGGGTAGTAGATCTTGGAAACGATGGCCAAAAGTGTGCTTGTTTCGAGGGGAACGATGCAGATTACTCGCGCATGTGGTTGGTAGACTTGCGCAAACCCGAATTCTCAAGGTCTTCCAAGGTTCGTATTTGGGGTCGATACCATGGATGTAGGTAGTTATGTATGTGGTGTACCTAACCCCGTACTAGGTACGTATGTTAGCGGCGAATGTATCGATGTACGTAGCTAGGTAGAGCATGTACAATATCATGTACAATATCATGTACCTATAGCCGGGGAGCACAGGTACCTTAGGTAGCTTCGGTACTACTGCGTTAAAAATGGGTTGCAAATGGAATGTGCTCGGCGAATAATATCTAACAGATGACTTGATCGCCTCTGAACCTCTTCAGTACCAATCTACCCAGGTAGGGTTTTAGGGAAACGGAACTTGACGACTTTAAATGAGCTTCGATTCTGCGCATCTATAATTAAAAAAAAAAAAAGAGAGAGATTGTTAAAGCGAGTTGCTCTTCGTTCATGACATTACTTCTCTCTCTCTCTTTTTTTTCTTTCTCTTCTGCTTCTTCTTATTCCGATTGTCTTCTCTCTTTTTGTCGTGTTAGTGTTAGTTTGTAAGGTTTAGTTAATAAATAGTGCTGGTTTCTGGTATAGTCGACCTCGTCCAAGTTACCCGTGCTTTTGTCTCTGCTCCGGAAAAGTTGCCTCGTTCAGAAGTCCGCCAGGCTTCTTTATATTGTAGACGTAGCAGCAGGAAGCGGTAGTGGTTTATCGAAGTAGCAGAGAGAGGGGGGAAAGAATTGACCTCTCGGGCAAGAGGGCTATTTTAGTCTAAAGATCCCAAGGCCGGTCAAGTAGAATCAAGATATATATCAGTCGCGTTAGAATCTCAACGCGCAAAGCTCTCGTCCTTGATATCTGCAATAATGGCGATGTTGATATTGCTGGGCTTCTTTTTTCCTGGTTTCAGATGTTGTTAACTGTGAGACTATCGCAAACCGCAATGATAGGCAGAGACAAGGCAGGCTGCGAGTTAAGAAATCTGGGGTGTGGTATGGCAGTGGGTGGCAGCAGTAAAGTGCAGACACAAGTTGATAACTACTGGATAGGCGGCACCTGTGCAAAAGAGATGGATGGGTGGATCAACGGGAAGCCACGCCTAGATGGTGTCGTGCCTCTGCCGGGCTACCTCTTTTCGGTCCAAGGATTAAAGAGATGCAAGCTTATTCGAGCCGATGACTATTCTGCGTTTGAAGCCGGGCGCTCTTAGCTTCTCGGGATGCTGGCGCTGGGTTTCGGTCTCGCTTGCTCCCTGGGAAACTGGGAACTTGCTAATGAAGATAGGAATAGACGTGCAATACAACACGACGTGCGACGTGCGACTTGCGACTTGTGTCTTGAGACTTGCAGCTGCGACTTGCGACCGCGACTGAGAGCTAGCGTAGAGCAGGTCTGCTTCTTAGCATCAGGTAATGTGTATTGCGTTGCGCCCGCACGGTTACAATGGTTATGGGAGAGGAGAGAAAGGCGAGGTAGTATAGCATATAGCAGCAGCATGGAAGCATGTGTGTATAATGCGGATTAAAGCTAAACGCAAGAGCGGGTATGCAAGTGCTGGCTGGATAGGACCAGATACGGGGTTTATCTCAAAGCGCGTCCCGCTACCAAGAATTATCAGATGAGTTTAGCAGGTTAATCGGAAAACGCGCAGCAAGCAGCGATAGAGTAACAGAATGCGACCATAAAATCAATGTGGACGATGCAGATGGCGAATGGATGATGAACAGTAATCAGCAGCGCCGAGAAGAGTGGCCGAACAGAGCCAAGGGTCCTTACGAAGGAACAGGGGGGGTGAGCAGAATGACCGGGGGGTTGTGCAAGCCCAGACACAGGCAAGGACAGGGATAAGTATGAACGGGGCAACGGGGGAGGGAAGCTTTTGCAAGGGGGTCCCTGTATATACATAGATGATATGTATACTGATATGTATACTGATACGTATACTGATGCGTATATTGATGTGTATATACTTACATTACCTGGGCGACGGAACTTGGCAACTTAAGTAGCTACCTAAGGGAGGTAAGCGAATGAGAGTGTAGATGCTTGCCCAGTTTGCGAAGCTACATTGTACCGTGATCATGTAGCATAGGTAGGTACTATGTAGGTATGTATGTAGGTAAGTAGTGGTTGTGCTTGCGGTTGCGGTGGTGATAGAGGGAGAACGCCTAGTTCGTCTTTGAAGCCTCGGTGTGGCAATAGTTACCTTAGGTACCTACCTAAGGTAATTACCTATTACGAAAATACCTGCGATGATAACATATATAAAATGATAACTTACATATACCATGTAAACTTCAATCCGACGAGCCTCGATTAGTTCTCGTCTTGCATTGCGAGCTGAGAGATGACCAAGTCGATCGTCAATCTATCACCTTTTTTCGTATACCTACCTAAGTGAACCAGGCTCAGCCTTACATATGATACATACCTACCAGGTAGTATATACAAACTTGTTGCCGAAAAAGGCTGTTTGAATGAGGAATTGGTACTGTATTGTACTATGTAAAAGCTGCGCGCCGCGGCCGTTGGATTTCATCGTGCAGCTTCAAGCTTTCAGGCTGATGATGTGATTCGGACTTGAAAATAAAATATTGAACAGGAATCCGGCTGGGCGCTACCTAATGGTGTGCATAATAAATGGTAACTGCATTAGGCATTTATCACATATGCGTACGCGCTATGAGAAAGAACAGTACAAATGGTAGCACAAGTCGTGGGTGAAGTTGCCCGAATCAGACAAGTTCCGCATTAGCTTGTCATTAAATTCGTCTTTTTTTTGGTGGTATTTTTACAATATTTTGCACATATGTTATTCCCTCAAGTATTAATTATATGGACACATCCATGGGATGCTAAAAAAAAAAGTGTATTGTGTGTATTTTGTGGCAGGTAGATATTTCTAAGAAGTTTGATATTAAGTCGCCGATAAAGGTTGATTTTCCCACTAGTTTGACCGGCATCCCGTTTGAACTTATCTTGACTGAATTCATTCCCAAGAATTCTTAACGGCCTAGCAGGCACATTTGCACTCATTAATTGGAAGCTAACTCGGACGGACCCCCAATATTCATATAGCCACCAGGTTACAGTTTGTCCAATTTGTCGGATACAATGTAAACTTTAAGTAGGTTGCCAAATGTACTTTTAAGTTTTAGGTAGTCCTACCTAAACTAAAGGAATCGATACCCCCCCATCTTAGGTACCTACCTAAGGCACATTTGTATATATCAAGGCTGCAATTGTCACATATAAATAGGTACCTAGGTACCGTACCTACCTACCTACCTGATAAGTAGCCTTACAGGCCGTGCCACTTGCTGTTTTTATTTTATTAGATGCATACTATCGCCATCTGGGCTAAATGGGAATACCGTACGGTATCATACTCGGCATAATACAGATCGCGCCTTATTACTATATATCGAACATGTACAGATAATTTTCCAAAGGAACGACTTTTAACTTTTTTTTTCTTTTCTGTTTTTACACATTTGAAGGTATCCATTTAAAATAAGAGTAAGTACCTACCTAACTTACCTGAAAAACATAGCGGGATGTCGGTATGTCGGTGGAGTTACGGGAAGATTTGTCCCGACCGAATGTTTCAAGGCCGGGACCGTACTTACGTCTCTTTTTCTAATTAATTGATCCCTTAGAAGAAATTAGACTTTAGATCTAGTATCAGACATCCATGTATTCTGTGCACAAGGTTTTTGCCTGAGTGAAAAACGTGAGCCGCAGTTCCCGATCATATTTCTCCGCGCTTCACACTTCAAACTTCTTCACATCTACCAGTTATTAGTTACATTATCTACTACGGATCCGTACATTGATAATAGGTATGTACCTCTTCCTCAGCTTTGCCTCCCCCATACATATGATACATCTAATAGTAGAACTAGGGTAATTTAAGTATTCTTTTCCAATATCCTTTTTATTTTATTTTTTATTTTTAATAGAAATTCCTTTCCTTACACACTCAGCAACGTTGCCTCTTACGGAACTTTTAGCTTAACTGTGGAGCGTGAGGCCAAACAAATCGTGGGTACATCCTGATCGACCCTGGATAAGTTTCGAGTGTACACGAGGACAATGCAGAGTCTCACCAGTCTCAGACCTAGTTACTAACAACTGGAGTTCGGTGGAGGTACATCGTATAGAAATTTGCCAATCTGCAATCTGAAAAAGAAAGGGCGAATTGTGAGAAAAGGGCGGGATAAAAAAGATCGGATCCAAGGATCATGAAATACGGGATGAGAGTAGGTAGATAATGATATGTGGTGGTTAAGTTGGTTAATTGGCATAGGGGCTGCTCGTCGCACATCTGTATAGCTAATAAGTCGGCAGGTGGAGTATCCGAAGACAGCATGGCTAAAGAGACATGCCCGTTCTGCCATTTACTCTAGTATGCGCCGGGCTTAACATGATTCTGACAATATGAGAATTAATACCATAAGGGATGAGCTTGTCGCCAAAGCGCGCGAAAGATACCATCACCAATTACTATCACCGTGTAAGCGGCATATGCGCCGAGCTAACTACATCTCGCTTCACGTCTTGTCGTTATTCCTTTCTTACCTGCATGGCCTCATGCAGGATGGGGTTTAAGCTGCCAACATTGATCTATCGACCCATTGGTCCGTCAACATGTAAACCTCCCAACTGTGTAAGCCAGTAGCTTACGGCATCTTTAAAAATGCAAATGTCAGCATGGTAACAGTACATAAATATTTCCCTTCGAGGCACTTGCTCTGTCTGAAAAGGCGCTAGCCAAAGCCATATATTTTCTCTATCGCTGGCGAGATACGCCTAAACGAAGCGCGATCCTTATTGGGTCGCTATACAAGCAAGCTAGGTGACCAATGACCCTCATATCAGCATACGACGTTTGATTGAACGGCACGCCGTACGAACAATGGCTAATAATAGACCAGAAATCTCAATTGTCCGCCTGCAAGGCTGCCGCCGATAGATAGGGAGATGTATGCTTAGAGGTGGAAACGAGGGGCTTGTATGGGCTTGTCCAAAAATCATTGCTACCTAAAGGGAACATCAAATTCGTCGTCTCCATTCCAAGGAAAAGGTAGTTCTCAGGCGTCAAAGACGCAAGTAGCTCGCTGTTATTACTATTGCCTACCTAGGTAGCTTGCTTCCTTCATATCCGCCAAACCACGTAATATTTCGTCAGCACTTGCTCATAACTTCCTTCGGCGCGGCAGAACCCTGCCGCCTTAGCACATGCCAAACCAGACGTCCGTATCTGTTCAACATTCCAGGGGGCGTTGACTCATATCCAAATCCCACCTCACCCGGGAATCACAAATGCGTCGTTGCCCCGCTTGAAAAGCCCTCAACTCTCCGCATGACCGTATCTACTATGTAGAGAACGGGTTTACTGAAACTGATAAGAATAACTAACGTTAGGTAGTCGACTAGGCATATGGAGGCATGTATTGTATTTAGTTATCGTATTGTACCTAATGTGTATGTATGTATGTAGTCGATAGCTGAGCGGTGGAACAGCTTCGGTCATCGATGGGCAAAGGGCTCAGTTTCAACGGAATCAGCTAACCCCAGCTTGTTTTAGCTCTTGAAGCCCAATCACAATCTCCTACTATTGCGGAGCCGTCTCAGTGGTATCTTAATTGGTGTAAAGAACGCCACAACCTCGGAGGGCGCCACGGATTCGACCAGTTCTTAGCAATATTAGTCGTGCCAAGACGGCGAGCAGCCAAACGCCATAGCGGTTGGAACCGACCCTGCGGAACTAGCTTTTTCGGCAACGTCTACCTCTAACATTTCCCCTAGTATCGCGAAGAGGATTTATTCGGCATTACAAACCCGATCGTCGTATGTGTTTTCTAGCTTCGTAAGAGCGATGCCATTCATGGACGTTGACTACCTAGTAGGTAGGTACCTACTACCTAGGTAAGGTAGAGAACCTCACGACGACATCGACCGGTATTACTGCTTGAACCTCATACTTGGTACCGATACGATGCGAATCCACACCCTCCCTTCCCCGTCTTTACACGCGGCTTCTCCTATTTCTCAGGCTTCCATTCAAGGGTTATGCTGCTAGCATGTTAACCGCATATCTAGTCTAGACTTTGAGTTCCTTGGTTCCGCTTCTATATGTACCCGTCAACTTGAGCTGATCTTCTAACAAGCTTACTCGAATGGGTAACTTATATTCTAGTCTAGTAATATGCTAAGCGCTATTATTGTCGCTACTACGCGATTTTTGCTAATAAGTTATTTTTGCATGAATAGGCTAGGTACCTCCTACCTGGTATAGAATAGATACATTGCCCCTTGAGTTTATATAAGACAAGTCCGTCACACAAACACCAGTGGTACAGGCTTTTAACGCGGCGGCAAGAATTCAATATACGGGGCATAGTTGAACACAGCTGTATACTTGCGGTTTACAGGATCTCGTGTAAAGGGGGTTCAGCATACATCAGACGGGTATCTCTGTACAATACATATCTCTGTACGTAAACACAGAGTTTGTGAGATGTTACCTATCAAAGGTCCATGTGTCATACGGACTAAAACGGCTAGGTAGGACGAGGCCTTACGCCGTCTACTTCTCTTCCTGCACGATGCTGCAGCCAAGGTCTGGCTACATGTAGCTTCACCTATTCGTCGACCTGCAGGAGCTCCACTTGGCGCCGGATACCAGCCTGCCAGCCTTCCTCTCATCTGTCACGAGTCGCTGTCGCTCTATCAGATTCCCACTATCAAGAGGTCGATCGTCTGTTTGCGACAAGGAGCAGAAAAAACGCGAGCAGCGATCACGGATCTAACCATGGATAAAGACAGATGCGTATGCGATTGCCGATGCATCCAAGGTCATCCCGGCGTGTGGGGAGCTACGACGACCCAGTCGACTAAGAGCTCACAGATATCACACAGGCTCACATGGCACCAAACGAGCGACCATCGAGAGTCTTGTTGAAGAAAGAAATCAACATGTCTATGTTTCACGATATGTCGGAAGACCCATCGAAAAGGATAAGATGGAACCAGAGAGCGTCATTGAGCGTCAGGACCAATGACCAGACGCGCCGGACCCAGGCTCTGACCGGCTTCCATCATGGCCGACACATGTCGAAACGTGCCATGATTGGCCTGCCAAAGATGATCCTTGCACCTCGTATATAGCTTATGCGGAAGTGCGCCACAGCTGAAGAACTAGGCCACAATCGAGGTAGCTGTGGACTATAGAAAGAGGCTCGGGCTTAAAGGTCTCAGTGACCAACAGGAATAAATCGGAACCGGCGGGAATGAAATTCAATACGTACAATATAGACTGAGCAGGGTCATAAGATGAAATTCCACTTCCAGGTATAATAGAAATTGCCTTAGACGAATATTACGGGAAGGAAGCCGGTGAGAGAAAAGCAGGAAACAAGATATTACCACTCTTAACCTTACCGTCTACCTAGTCGTCGGTCGCACGCCAAGAGCTCTGCCTTGGATGAACACCGTACATAGTATGTATCATACAATGCTATGTACGAAGTACTCATAGCGTAACAGAAGCTTGGCTTACTACCCTGCTATCCCCGGCATTTAGGGACAACCGGGAATGGATGGTCCGTCAAAGCGTCAAAGTTAAGAGATTACCCCTCATCTTTCGCGATCTGGTTCTACGTGCGAATCCACTATCTTTCGTGCTAGTTATGCTATGAGCAAGAGTTATCAGTTAGCTAGACCTTCCAGATCTATAACAGTCATTTGTGTATAGATAGATGATAGTTGGGGCTATCGGTGTCTATAGGACTGCATGTGACCGGTGGAGAGCTCTAATATGGGGCAAACAAGAATGATTATAGCGGCCCAGAACGCCCCTAGGAGGCGGGTTATACTGGAGAAGATGTGATGATGGTGTGAAGCGATAGCTTCGAAGAGAGTACATACTATGTAGTACCTATAGCAATGGTAGAGGGAGGGGAACACAAGGAGGAGCATTAGGCTAGGTTAGGGGGTCGGTATCGAAAGAAAGAAAAAAAAACAAAAAAAAAAAAGAGCCTTCTCGGTCGTACCTTGGGGCTTTGCTGGAGGGACGGTGTCGGTGCCGTCATTGGCCAAAGCTATGAGATGAGGTCTCGTTGGCCAACCAGCTGACACAATGAATGTTCAAGCTTGGAGCCGGAGCCCACAGACCTTCTGCAAATCATGATCCATCTTAGCGTCTGTCCCCACCCTACCTTAAATGCAACCGCCCAAGCCGCCTAGGGCCCATGTCCTCGCCCCACGTCCACGATCCCATCCATGGAATCCCCCCCTAGGTATCTGTCTATACACATACACTACACTAGAGGGGTAGGGGGGATTTGTTCCCCTCCATGAGTCGAAGCTCGTTAAAACAGGCTGACAGGACGACAGGGTACACTCGGCATGCAGCAGTCGCGTCTTTCGCGTCGCATCTTACTCACTCTTTTTTTTCCTCTCTTCTCAATCTAACCACCTACGTATTCTTATCTACCCTCCTGTCAGTGTGGCTTGCTCAAACCCCACACTTCGTCTCTACACTAGACGTCCGAGCCAGCCGAGTAAGAGGGCCTTCGAAAGGCTCCGCGCGGGAAACACAAGCGTAAGCCTCCTTTTGACAGCTTTGGTACAGCCATGATTAGAAAGATATAGTAGTACCTACCTACTATGTATACACATGCAATAGGTACTATCTGCACTACGCTATATCGTGTACGCTATCGCTATCGTAGGCCGCAAAGTGGCATCGCCACCAACAACCCAATCCCCCCCCGTTTCCCCCATCCCACATTTCCCAATGGGCTTGCCCTCCCTCGGCAGATTATTTTCCAAAGGAGTACACTCCACGATCTGTCTATCGAAGGGCTGTCGACCCACTGAGGAACCCTCAGGCAGTTGGGCCCCCCCTTACCCAGCCAACCTATACCCAGCCAGCCTATACCCAAGCCAGTCTACCCAGCCTATACCATGACCTACAGTACCTACCTGCTCGTCCGTTGCTTCTGCATAGCACGACAGAGCGGGAGATTTTCCCAGATCCCTGTTTACCCGCTCTTGCAGACGGCGGCCGAGCAACCAAATCCACAATTGATCGCTTCTTAGTCTAGATTCATGCTGCGTCGATAGCCTCTCTTTTGCCTTGGGTGGAACAACGTATCACGAAACAGTCTAGCAGTCTAGTCTAGTTACCTCTTTTTTTTTCTACTAACATCTTCTAGAGGGGTTTTTTTTTTCTGGAGAAACCATATTGCTTTTTCCTACGGATGCATGACATAGGATGTGGCTTTCTTACCCTTTTTTTTTTTTTTTTTTAAATTTCTTCTTCGGAAGAGCGCCGCCTATCGCCCCATGACGCATCATCATAAAAAAAAAAATTTTATAGCAGCGCCGCAGCCGAAGCTTGAAATCTTCGTGGCCGCGAGGCTTGGCGCTAGTCTCCAAAGTTGAAGGACCTCATACGAGATGACTCCTATAGGCTTCTTCGTCCTGTCTTGTCGACCAGGTAAGGTAGGTAGGTAAAGGCATCTAATGCACGTAGAGACGCATGTACGTACGAGACCAGGTTAATGTCACGTAGTAGAACTTCAGAAAGCGTGAGCGAGCATCAAGCAAGCATCAAGCAGGCATCAGCAAGTAGACGACTGATCTGAAGATCTCAAACCCAATCTCATCAACTCTCCGCCGCCGAATCATAGCAGAGTCCCAAACTCTGTCGTCAATCGGTGAAACCAGCGCTATCCGACAATGGCAACACACAGAGGGTGCCACAGCATTCGGACAAACTTCCTAGAGGCTAGCCACAGCAGCTTCCAAGGTTGTTTCCACTTCCTCCTCTTCCCTTTCATTATACTACCTACCTAGACCTAGGTAGTATGTATGTTATTGCTATTATTATTATTAGTCGTAGGATTATTACCATTCATTATCATAATACCATTTACTCCTTCATCCCACCGCCTAAGGTATGTTTTAGAACGGTGGCTGATGGTAATGTTTCATGTTTAAATCAACACTCCTACCACGTTTGCCGGATGGTTCCCAAGACTTGTTCGAGGTAACCATCGAGAGACATTCGGAAGTGACGTCTACTCTCCACGTTGGCCTGCTTTCACAGCGTCGACGACGTCCCCAATATTCATAGTAATATCATGAATATTATTTTTACTTTCTTTTATTTTCCTTCGCCGACTTCCGGTATCGCAAAGCTTATCATCTCCCAAAGCCTTCTCTCTCTCTCTCTCTCTCTATCACTTCCCCCCCCTTTTTTTTCCGGTCTTTTTCTTCTCTTTTAATCAGGAACAGCTGATGTTGCTTACTCCTTGCGCGACGGGATACACGGTAGTCTAGGCGTTGCCGTGGGTTGAACAATGGCGCACTCCACGCGATGCGATGCTGATATATCGCACGATGCAGTCGATTATTCCTAAGTGCCGCGGATCGACCAGGAACCCAGAAGCAACAGCACCACCGCATTGCATTTGCATGTCAGGGTATGTAGTACGCCTAGTCAGTCTGACTGCCTTGTTCCATGGAGTCTTAATAGAAAAAGTGAGGCTATAGGCGTTGCGCGCCATCGCCGCCACCCTAGCGCATCCGCGTGGCCGTGGAAAGAGGCTTAAAGGCGCGGGATATAACATGAAATATAACATGATTCTTCTGTTGCCGCTGCTGTTATTACCTTTCTTTTTTTTACTTTTCCCCCGCCACGCACCGATGCATACGTGAGTATACGCATGGCCTGCCGACCTTGGAAGCTGGTAAGAAACACGCACGTAGAGAGGGCGTGCCATCGTACCACTTTCTCTGCCGCTGAGAGACCTAATCTCCAAGTCATTGCCGATCTAGCCCTATTTAGTGACATGTCTCCATATCTCTCCATCACGTAGACCTGTTTTCGCCCCTCCTCTTCCTCAGTATCCTTCGCCTCCTAGCTTTCATTTTGCCAGAAATCAGGACATTTCATTCCTTCCTAGAGATTTCCCCGGAACGGGACGGGACGGGACGAGACGCGACGCGGGCAGACGCGCAGATACCGGGGCCGGGGATGGGACGCTTGTTGTTTCTTAAAAAAGAAAAAAAAGAAAAGAAAGCAACAAAAAAACAAGATGCTAGGTAGAAAGGGGTTTCGCGCATTGGTCGGATGGCCGCTGTCGATCCACGGCGCCCGGGCGTTTACCAATGAGAGCGAGGCGGCGGGCCGGGGGAAGACCTGCCGGCTGGGAAATTTATGATACATGTGGACCGCTAGGTATATGAGTCAGGTTTAATCTATAACAATAGACTATAGATCCGCAACCGCAATCTTAACCTCATTGCTCGCGTTTCCTATTTCCCTTCCGTGAACAGGGGAACCATCTTGGGCCCGGCATGAGTAAAAGTTCGGCCGCGCCTGGAGGCGAGACGAGGCAAGGAGGATATGAGATGAGAGATGGAGATAGGATAGGATAGGGTAGGGGAAGAGCCGAGGACAGACGGACAGGAGTGACCCTGAAGGGAAGTGGGGGTTAACCTTGTAGTTAGTGTTTACGATACCTCCTGATGAGTTTCACGGCTCATGCAGATATATTTCTTGTTTTTTTTTTCTTGTTTTTTCTTCTTCTTCTCTTTGGTACTCTCGGAGAAGCGGAAGGATGGGTAATTTGTATAGTAGATAGATAATATATGGTATGAGGTTATAGAGATATATCTGTATGTTAGTAAGAGATGACAATTAACTACCTCCTTGTATAGAATTGTGAGCTAATAAGTTTAGGTGATCGATATATCAGATGATTATTAGTAATGTATAAGTTTTATTTACGTAAGAGTTTATCTTGTGTAATAAGTTATTCTTAGGAATAGTAGACCTAATAGCTCCAAGTTTGAGGTATAACTATATCGAAAAGTTGGCAAGTTAGCACCTTAGGAGGTAAGGTAAGTTTATCACTAAGACTCAAGAGTAAAAGTTGAGATCAACGACCAGGTGGTTAATAGAGTGACGGTCCGATGTGGCGGCTATCTAAGTATTAACAGTTGGCAGCAGTACCTAGCGGATGTATTTAAGGTACCTAGGTACATTCGTATCTCATGTAAGGTTAGGTTAGGTAATCAATAGCTAGTAGAGATTGATATCAAAAACTCCTTATCGATAAGCCGCGTTTAGTGACGCCAGCTCAATTTCGCTGCGATTTGCAACTGCGATGTTGATTGTTCAGCTTTCATGTCGCCTTCGTTACTCGGCATTAAGAATACGAGATTTCCTATCAACAATTCCAGCACTGGAAATCTCTAATTCCTAGCGAGTACTAATACAATAAAAAAATTAATCACATATTCAAAAATGACGAGTCTCAAGAGACCGCAAGGTGCTGATTCGTATTCCCCAAACCTCTCGAGCAAAACCTACGTGAGGTCTACCAAGAGTGGCAAGGTCCAAAAGATTGTACGCGAGGTCTATCTTCGCCAAGATATTCCCTGTTCATCTAAATTGTGTTCGAGATGTCTCGCTACAGCACCGAGGAACGCGGGCGGAGAGTGTAAGTTTTCGCATCAGCCTGACTCTTAACATACTTCCATACCTCTCTATCAGGACTAACTTCAACTCTAGTAAGCCCCTTCGTCCTCTCGGACAAACCAGCTGGAACCAAGGCTTTCCCGCAAGGGCATTATCTTGTTCCAGACACAAACGCCCTACTTAATGCTATGGACCTGTTCGAGCAGAGCTCGGCATTTTATGACGTTGTCATATTACAGACAGTCCTAGAGGAGCTGCGTAACAGATCTTTGCCGCTATATAACCGGCTAATTGGTCTAACCAAAAGCGAAGATAAACGCTTTTATGTCTTCTTCAACGAGTTCAGACTCGAGACATACGTGCCTAGAGAACAGGATGAAACTATCAACGACAGGAATGACAAAGCCGTTCGGAAAGCCGTCAAGTGGTATAACGACCACCTAAACCAAAACAAGAGCAGACAGCTACCGGTAACGGTTATGCTCACGGATGATCGATTAAATATCGAAAAGGCCAAAAAGGAGAAGATCCCAGCTATTACCTTACGCGACTACGTATCAGGACTCGAAGACGCAGATCGATTACTCGACATGATTCCCGAGTCACAGGAGCGAAGTATATCTAGAGACAAGAATGCTTCTGAATTCCTGTATCCCGAACACTATACCCTCTCCAAGATGATGACTGGCGTCAAAAGTGGTATCCTCCATCAAGGCATCTTTAACGTATCGCCGTACAATTACCTTGAAGCCTCGGTCAAGGTTCCCGCCTTTCCCAAAGCGCTTATTATTCTTGGGCGAGAAAATATCAACCGCGCAGTAGACGGAGACGTCGTTGTCGTGGAGGTTCTCCCCCAAGACCAATGGAAAGTGCCTTCCACAAAGATTATCGAGGAAGAGGCTATTACGAAGAACGAGAATGCCGATAACGAAGAGGGAGACGACCTAATTACAGAGCAGGAGAGGCGGGCCCTCCAAGAGCAAGTCAAGAAGACACATGGACTAAGCACAGAAGGTCGACCACAGCCCACCGCAAAGGTGGTCGGTATAATCAAGCGCAACTGGCGTCAATACGTCGGTCATGTAGATCCGTCGTCCGTCAGCCAATCCGGCACCCAAGGCAGAAAGCAAGAAAGTGTCTTTTTAATCCCGATGGATAAGAAGGTACCAAAGATTCGCTTACGTACGAGGCAAGCTGGGGATATCGTTGGGAAGCGAATACTTGTCGCTATTGACTCGTGGGATCGCGAGTCTCGACACCCTGTTGGTCACTTCATCAGATCACTGGGCGAATTAGAGAGCAAGGCCGCCGAGACTGAAGCATTACTGCTCGAGTATGATGTCCAGTACCGGCCTTTCCCGAAGACGGTGCTAGATTGTCTACCTAAGGAGGGACATGACTGGATAGTACCGCCCAGCACCGATGACCCTGGCTGGAAAGATCGGGAGGACCTCCGAGGTCTTCTAATTTGCAGTATCGATCCGCCTGGCTGCCAAGATATTGATGACGCGTTACACGCGAGACCACTGCCAAATGGGAACTTCGAGGTTGGTGTCCATATTGCGGATGTTTCGCACTTTGTAAAGCCGAACAATGCTATGGATACCGAGGCGAGCATCCGAGGAACGACCGTCTACTTGGTAGACAAGCGTATTGACATGTTGCCCATGTTACTAGGTACCGATCTCTGCTCCTTAAAACCGTACGTGGAGCGTTACGCCTTCTCGGTGCTCTGGGAAGTGAATCAAAACGCCGACATTATCAACGTGCGATTTACCAAATCTGTTATCAAGTCCCGCGAAGCATTTAGCTACGAACAGGCACAACTACGTATTGATGATGCATCCCAGCAAGACGACCTAACCAAGGGAATGCGAACGCTACTAATGCTATCGAAGAAGTTGAAACAGAAGCGAATGGATGCTGGTGCTCTAAGCCTCTCGTCGCCCGAAGTCAAGGTCGAGATGGAATCGGAAACCTCGGATCCGATCGATGTCAAGACCAAGGCGTTGCTAGACACCAACTCCCTCGTGGAAGAGTTCATGTTACTCGCCAACATCAGCGTAGCGAGCAAGATCTACGAAGCATTCCCTCAAACAGCTATTCTACGACGCCACGCCGCGCCACCAAAGACCAACTTTGACGAGCTGGCCAATCAACTCAAAGTAAAGCGCGGGTTGGAATTGCGTTTCGACTCGTCGAAAGCACTAGCCGACTCTCTAGACCAATGCGTAGATCCGCGTGAGCCCTTTTTCAACACGCTCGTGCGTATCATGGCGACACGGTGCATGATGAGTGCCGAGTACTTCTGCGCAGGTACCCAGGCATTCCCCGAGTTCCGACACTACGGTCTGGCCTCCGAGATCTACACGCACTTCACGAGCCCTATCCGTCGATACGCCGACCTGGTCGCCCACCGCCAGCTCGCGGCCGCCATCGAGTACGAGCCCATGCACCCCGCGGTGCGCTCGCGCGGGCGCCTCGAGGCCGTGTGCAAAAATATCAACGTGCGGCACCGCAACGCGCAACTCGCGGGCCGCGCCAGCGTCGCGTACTACGTCGGGCAATCGCTGCGGGGCCGGGTCGCGGAGGAGGAAGGGTTCGTGATGAAGATCTTCAGCAACGGGTTCGTCGTCCTGGTCCCCCGCTTCGGCATCGAGGGCCTGATCCGCCTGCGGGACCTCGCGGACCCGGAGCCCGAGAGCGTGTTCGACGCGGACACGTACACGCTCAAGACGAGCGGCAGCAGGGAGGTCACCGTCGAGCTGTTCATGAAGGTGCTGGTGAGGATCCAGGACGTCAAGGACGAGGCGACGGGGAAGAGGGGCGCCAAGATGGAGCTTATTAGGGCTGGTTAGATTACGTATCTGGTATAATACCTCTTTTGCGGCGGGAGAGAAAAGAAGGAAATGGATCTTGGGGCCTAGGTTGTTGCTACTTGCCAAGGGGATGATGCCATGATATAGTCATGAGAGTTTAGTACATGGTCGTAAACACCTGTTGTTAGGGCGTAGTTAATGGACGTTGCCTTGCCGACCGTTTAGTATCACTTGTGATCTTTGATCTTGTACTCGTTTTCTGTACGGATGAGTGTTTAGGTCTTACATTACTAGGTAGGTACCTAGTTAAGATGCTTTGCTCCGAGGAATAGGTCTTGCATGCCGAGTCTGTCATTACGAACTACGTTAACATAAGGCAATAGGTACCTCCTAAACTAAGAGTGTTTACGTGTTACGATATATTCACCGGTAATATCCCATCGCTCAGGTATGTTTTTAGAATATTTGCACATGACGCAAATAAAATGCAGAAGCACATGTTTTGCCTAGGAGGAGTAGGTAATGCCGCCTGTGAGCTCTGAGTGTATTAGGCTCGTCTGCCGACTTGGCTCGTTAGGTTAAATACCTAAAGTTGGGGGGCATGTGTGTGTCTCGATCATGGCGATTCTAGACGTAGAGTAGCCTCGTGTATTCTGTTTCGTGGAGGTTAAGTACAGGTAGGTATGTATCATGACGAGTAGTATGCAACCAAGGCTTTTCACTAGAGAAAAAAATCGTGATCATTCGTAAACACCGGGAAGCATCATCGCGTTTGGTTACCCCGTGGGACTGCATTGCGCCATCTTCACCAAACGAAACCGCCTCAAGGGATACGGAGATCCTCATCTAGCCAACCCTTAAACGAGAAGCTTGAATGCCTACCTACCTAGGTACCTTAGGTAGGTAGGTAGGCATCTTAGAGTTGGTTGACGCATTCTCACCAACACGAACTCCCTAGAATCCCCAAATTACTCCTATCCTAGGTATCCAGACACCAGCGTCGCGGCAACAACCCCGTCGTCCATCGCATATGCACTGCATACATTAGATTAGATGCCAGGTAGCTAACGTACCCAGACTTCGGCACCAGTCGACCAGCGAACAGGCCACGAGTTCGCAGCCCATTTATGTACCTAATCTTCCTATTCGCGCTCGGGTTCTTCCGGGCAAGCGAGAGCTGCTGCATATGTGCGAATAGTGACAGCTCGTGCTGCGGCGCCTCATAGGCCACCACTTACGTAGGTACCTACCTTGTTTCTAACGTATTCCCACATGCAATCCAGCATGTGCCTTCAGAACCGCCACCCCCAACGTGCTCTTGGGCTAATTCTCGTCCCGTGCATGCCAGGTATGTACCTACCTAGGCACAATTCGTATTCTCACATTTACCTTTACCTCTACATACCTAAATTTGTCTATATTGTATTGCATCGTACAATACAGGGCCAACCAACCAACCAACCAACCCAGAAAAGCCCCCAGAGCCTCCGCAAATAGGAACCGGAACTTACCGCCCCATGTGCCGGCGCAGCACTGCGACATTGAGATGGGCGTGCATACATAGTGTAGCGTACGATGCAATACAGGTAGCTATTCATATGGAACAGCGTGCGCGGCCGAATCTCACAGCTTCCGCCGTTACGTATTCTTATATATATAAAGCAGTCCCCTACGCTGATATCAAGGGCATTAGCTACCTTAGGTAGGTACTAGTAGTGTATCTGCTGGGGCGACGTCAAAAAGCTTCAGGGGGCAAGAACTGCAGATGCGCGGGTTCACTTGGCGTTCCTGAACGGGGGATAATGCATTGTGCAGTGTATCTACGGGAGACGAGACGGGACGATATAGATACTAGGTAGGTACCTGAGGTAAATTTGAGCAGAAATATGTAGAATTGGTATTCTACGTACCTATATATTGTATCTACATGCGCAACACGATAATGCTCGGTTAGAAAAGCGATACCGGGTATCTATATCCGTGTGTGTACCTAGAGGTATCAGGTTAGTAACCTAGTGTCTATCCTTCATCTCAACAAATCCCCCCGCCGGTATGGCATGCGGGTTATAACAGACGTTATTATAGGGTATCTTGATTAATAAGTTGAGGTTTTGGAGGGTGAGAACTCAAGAAGAAAAAAAAGGAGACAAACCAAAGATACGTCAGGTCCAAAAACGGCAATGAGCACCCCAATTCGAGCCAAGTGGCGATTGGCGTCGTCCGATTCAGGAAACATTGCGAGTCTAAAATGGCATATAGCGCCGGTGCCAAATCCTGGAACGGAGGACGTCCGACGAAGATAACCCTTGGTGGCACAACCCTGACAACCATAATAGCTCGATCGTTTCGTTCGTGGCCGCCTCCTCGACGGCAAGGAAATGCAAAAGCAATTACTTACCTGGTGCACTTGAGCCATTTTGGGATACCATTTTGGGATAGAGAGGCGGGAGAGCCTATTATATAATAACGAGGGTAACGGTTGACTGAACCAAATTCTTATCAATTTAGGACTGCTGTCGTGGTATTATTGCTGTCCTAGGCTAGGCAACGATGAATAGGGCAAACATCTTGAGCAGCACTGCATCTTGAGAGGGTCGGACCGCTAGCCTTAGATTTTCGTCATCACGGGCCGTCTGGCACGAAGACTTTCTTAGGTTAGCATGTCCGTCGTGGAACTCTGATTAACGGAGTTGAATTATGATATTGTATTGTAGTTGGCCCGCTTCGTAGGTTTATTAGTAGGAGTAAACCGGGTTTGACTTCGACGTGTCACGGCATTATTCCGCTGTCAGTCAGTCAGTGATATCGGTTGTTGTTGCCAGTCGGTGCCAGTATGCCAGTCTTGATTGTTAGGTAGTGTATGATAGCCGTCTGCTAACCGAGACTCGCGCAATGAACGCACGACCGTTAATTCTAGAGTGGATCTTGCATAAGAGGGTTGTTACCGCAAAGGGGTCAAAGAGACGTCATGCCTGCGAATCGATCAGGTGGGGGAATGGGATGGGGCGTAAAATTAAAATCTCCGAAAGAAGGTTGGTCTAGAAGAGTGCTTTCTTAATTTGGGTCGAGCGTCCGCGCTGTATCTCTTGTAAAATGAACTTATTGCTTCAAGCCAGTAGAAGAGCGCTCTCGATAGTAAAATGTAGCGGCCGACCAGAATTGCAATCGCGCTGGGGCGAATGCATAACAAATTTCCCTAGCTTTAACGCACGGGTAGTGTTTTTGAACCACACTCCCATCCAACTGGGTTGCGCTCTCGTGATGGCGCCTTTCATATTGGTCACTTCGCGGGGAACAAGATTATGATGGTGTTTTCAAGACCTGGATCATATAGTTCTTCCCACTGATGTGGATATGGTAGGCGCATATGATAGGCGCAGGTATATGGCGATAAGCCGTTGTCATAAGAGTGGCATTGAAGAATGCGACTATATTTGGCCGTCTATAATGACCAGCCCGCAACAGACTGCCCCTTTGTCACCAAGGTTCCGGTTAGTATCGCTACGTGATGGGAGGCTAACTTTCTCCCCGATCCGTATCTCAGCATGTTTCGGTAGTCGTGAGTAAAGTCGCCTGGTCGAAGATAGTTAGTTCTATGGCACGCGGTCAGTCAAGTTTTTATTGAACAACAACCAGAACCAATGACAAGTAGCTCTAATTTAGAGCGTCCATAGTCAATGGTACGTTGATGGGATGGATGCTACTGTCTATATTGGTTTGGTAGTCCGTATATCGATTTTTCTGGTACTTAACGGCCCTTCACGATGAGCAGCGCGTCATAACGTTGGGTTGTAAGATTCAACATCGGTACATCTGACAGGTGGTAAAGTTTCTTGCCACATATATTGCAATATTTAGAACAAGTCTGGACTTAGAGGGCATACAATGATTACGCTCACAGGTACCTAAGGTATGATTACGGTGGTATTAATCTTCACAGCGCGCAACTGATTACTTGCGCCAATCGCAAGCACACTTCCGGCTGTTGCAATATGTGGCGATAAAAAGGTGTCGTCTCAGTGACTCAATCCCCTCACCGGTGCTCATCTCAAGAAACTGGTGGGTAGACTTTTGGTACACGAGCAAAGCAAGTGGAACTGAGCCCATCTCAACGTGGGAGAAACTCTGTCGGGCATCAAGACTAGCGCCTCGCGTTACGGATCCGTGGATGCGTATTTGCTCTCGGCTTTGTCGAACGATTTACGTCTTAAACCGGAATGCTTGCCTAAGCCGTGAACCAGGTTTGGAGTTTTCGCCGCCGCCTTTCTCTCCGAAGAGGTGGGGTTGCAGTATATATTAGGTAGACATCACTATAGACTAGAATTTCGTAATGACTAATGGATGCCTTGATGGATTATCCACCCTTACGATTCATTGGTGCTTTCGTAATATATCGAATTTGATCGTATCTCCCACCATAGCATGAAGGGCCTATGAGTGTGTAAGTGCTAGTAGGATTTCTTTGCCTTATTATCATAACATAGGCATTTTTATGTTCAGATGACACAGATATGATATAGCTGAGATCGGGCTGAACTTGAAACATATGAAATTTTGGGTTGAGACGAGCTGCGCGATTGCGGACCATGCTCTACAAGTCTGTATGCTATTTTGGACCTTTGCGTTGACAGCGGATACCGACTCCACTGAGAGGACATTAAATACCTGGTAATACTGTAACATGCAGTAACCCCGACGCGGGATATGCATCTTGCATTTGTGAGTGAGAATTGCCATAAGTGGATTATGAAGAGCCTTGGTTACATGTAACTATGCAACTCCCGGAACAAGGCGTCATAATTTTATGACTTGTGAGCTCAGGGTGTAATTTGGCCTTCGAACCCATTTAGGATTATCGTGTAGAGGGCACCCAATCAAGATCATGTCCTCAGCCGTACTTTAAAGGCTTACTACCTCTCGCGTGAGGCCGCGGGGTGCCTTTTCGAGAAAGGCTTCGTCGATGGTGTGCTTCATTAAGGGCGGACCAGAACGTCGGGACGTTTGTAGGATTCAGGAATGTAAGACTGGCGGCCAAATAT